GCGGCGGCCGCGGCGGCCAGGGCGGCGATTTCGGCGGCGAGGGCGCTTAGGCGAGGGAGGTGGCGGCGGGGCGGAGGTGCAGGGCCCCGGTGGAGACGGCGGCGGCAGAGGCGGCGGCGGGAGCGGCGCGCACCTCCCTGCCGCCGACTCATCGTATCTCGGCACATCTCGGCATATCTCGGCGCACCTCCCTGCCGCCGACTATTGGAAGTCGCGTGAGCGGCGTGTTCATGGAAGAAAGAAAGTCGCGGAGGGATGCCTGCGGGCGGTTGGGCGGAGGGGCTTCGCGCGGCGGGGGGCGCGGCGCGCCGACAGCTTCGGGCGAGAGACGCAAGCGTGCGGGGGCGGGAGGGGTGTGGTGAGAGGAGGATGGGGCGGGAGAGGGGGCGCGTTGGAGACGAGGGCTGGGGTGGGGTGGTGGTGTTGGGGGGGAGGGGAGGGGGGGCGCCATGAAGTTGGCGCGCGCGATGTCGCGCTCCGCGATCTCGGAGGTGCGCTGCAGCTCGGGCTTGAGCCGCAGCCGCTGAGCGTCGAGCACCGCTGGAGGCCTCCAGTCGGCTGTCGCGAGGCGGGCAGAGGCGGGTAGGTGGGTAAGAGAGGGTGCGAATGGTTGTCGGGTAGCGCGGGGCGGCGTGTGGGCCCGCCGCACGGAGCGCGTGCGACGTGACGGCGCCGGGCGCTCGCGGCTGGAGGCGCGGAGGAGGCGGAGCCGCGCTCGGGTTGCGCACCTGGCGGGATGATTCGGACGGCACCGTACTCAGAGAGCAGCTGGCGATGGCAGCGCAGATAGGCGAGCGGTGATCTCCACTCCTCCTCGGACGGCCGGAGCACCGGCGCGTCCACAGACGCCACGTGCGACGCCATCGGCGAGGCGCGGATGGCAGGCCAGCGCTGTCTAGCCAAAGCGACAAAGAAAGAAAGAAAAGGCGTACCGAAGAGGCAGACTGGCGACGGCTAGCGCACCACACCCCTCTCCTTAACCCCTGTGATGGCGGCGTGCCGTCCTCCCATACGCAGTTTCTTTCTTTCTTGCTTACGCGCATTCGCCCACAGGGTGGCCTAGGAGAAATTGAAAAAAGCGAAGAAAACGCCGGTGAGATCGAATCGAACGATTACGCTTATTAGGCGTCTACAGATTTGAAGTCTGCACCCCGCACCAGCGAGGCTCACCCCGGCAGAATCGAACCCGAGACCAGGGGCCAGAGGACGGGCATCGAAGCGAGCGTGCCAAAAAGGCCCGGCGTACTGGTGCACGCACGGAATGCTTGATTCAGAACATTGGGGTTTTTATCAAGAGTTTGTGATTTATATCATAAATTGTCAACATTTTGCGACACCAGCGTGCCCGCAACCAGGCCGGCGTAGGCTAGCCCGCCACGATGCGCCGCGCGCGAGAGCGCCTCCGCATCGCAGCGCGCGCGCCGACGTGCGCGCCGGCGACGGCAAACACGTTCGAGAGCCAGAGGGACGCGAGCACCGACGAGGCCAGCGACGCTCCTGCGGCGGCGCCGACCCACACATGCATGGCGACCGACGCGGCGGCGCACTCTGCCAGCCGTGCCCGTGGCAGCGCGGGTGCGCGTGCCTGCTGGTGGCTAGGCGCGGACCGGCCAGGCTCGTCCCCATCCTCGCTGGGGGCAGTGGCGGCCGCCGGGGCGGGGAGGCGGGCGATGGTGTCCCCGCCCGCCGCCAGCAGCACCAGCGCCGCCGAGCGGAGCGGCGCTGCGAGCGGGGCGCGGCCGATCCACTCTGCGAGGCCCGCCTCAGCGCAGCTAGCCGCGAGCCGGAGCCGCCCGCCCCTTGCGCAGAGGGACGGCTCGAGGCCGGCGGCGAGAACTCCGCCGAGCGCGGCGCCTATTCAGTGGTGCTCATTCAGTGGTGAACCACCGTCAATCAAGTCGGACAAGCGTAACTTCTTCAACCTCACGGGACAGCCCCTGGACGCAGACGGCAACCCAGACCCGAGCGGGTGCGGCAGGACTGTCTGTTTTGAGTGGGCGCGTAAGCGCAATCCGGCACTCATCCCGGCGATGCGGTTGGTGTTTGGTCGACGCAGCTTCCTCCGTCTGTGCAGCGCGGACGGACCGCTCCAGGACCCTCGGGCAGCCGGACCGAGCGACGCCGACGCACCGTGGGACCCGCTCAGCCTGGAGCCGCCCGGCGAGGACGCCGACGGCTACATCCGGTCGTGCTGCGGCGGCGCCCAAGGGCGCGCCTTCTCAGGGATGTGCACCACCGGAGTCAAACACGAGATCGACAACATTGTGCAAAAGAATTCTTAAGAGCGAAGCCTCTCTCACAGCACACTGGCACGACAAGGGCGCAGACTGCAAAAGAATTCTGCGGTAATACCTACCTACCT